AAAAAAAAAAAAAAAAAAAAAAAAAAAAAAAAAAAGAGGGTTGTACATCACAGTGCCTACAGTTAATAACAATGTGTTGTACAAAAAAAAAAACCGGGGGGGGCGGGGAAGAAGATATAACAACTATACCTTTTTGAAGTTGTTACAACAAGCAAACGGAAAGGACATTCTTGGGGGGGGAGGGGAGAGAGGGAGGAGGGAGGGAGGTGTCGGTGATGGGCCATAATAATCATATACATTGTATATTGACAAAATAAAAATTTAATGAAAAATAAAAAAATAAAAAATAAATAACAATGCGTTGTATACTCGAAAATTGCTGGGAGTAGAGTTTGTGTTCTCAGCACACATACGTAAGTATGTGAAGTAATGCGTATGTTAATTAGCTTGTTTTAACCGTCCCACAATGTATGCGTATTTCAAGACATCATGTTGTACACCATAAATACACACGATTTTTATTTATCAATTTGAAAAATAAATAAATGATGAAAAAAATGAAGAAATAAAAAATTACAGCCACAAGAATATTAATCATTCAGTTACTGGTCCTACCAGCATATAAACGTTGTGATAAATGTGGCTAGCAGGGTCCGTAGCGTAACCATGATTCGATGTCAGATCTTCTTAGCTGTAGCTGCCATTGGTAACCCTGACCTTCTGAAGTTACCACCGTGCTCTCCTCTAAGCCGTCAACAGTATGCCCCTTCTTGCCCTCTTTCAGTCTTCACCATCTCTTTGTGATGTGAGAAAGAGTAACAACTATTTTCCCACTTTACAGGTACAGAAACTGAGTCTTAGAACTGAGTTCCTTGAAATGACAGGAGAGTCTGTTGCCTCTGGAGCAATTTATCTCCTTGTGATTTATGACCGAGGAGGAAGACCACAGTGGCCCAACCCGCAAAACCATGCGCAAGAAGAGCCTCGAAGTACCAGAAGAGAGCACTGGTTCCCAGCATGGACAGAGGGACTCAGAGAACAAGCTTTGAGGGATTTTTTAAATAAGCATTTATTTTATATTTGCTTCTGCTATTAAAAGTAATTCTGACTTATGGAAAGAACTTGGAATATAACAGTTTCTTTAGAAAATATAAAAGTCACTTAGAATCCCACCCACCACCCACAGATAACCATTACTTTTATATAGTTCACACTTTTTCCCTGGGTGCATATTTTTTGTAAAATTAGGGATAGATTGAACATCTAATGCTTAACATTAGATGTTTTTCCCTTAACATTAATTGTGAGCATTTTCTCCATATCATTAACTATCATGGAAAACGCTATTAAAAAAATAAGAATATTCCAGTAGATGGCATACTGCTGACATTTAGGTTATTCCAAAATCTAATATATTTTTTTAAAGTTCCAAAATTGTGTGCAAATGGTTTACAATCGTCGAAAAGGTGTCTGGAAGATTTCCATTGATATTCTTACATCCTGGCCCCAACACCTATGGTCTAGGGACAGTAGCTGAGTGTGGGAGAGAGCTGTGGATGGGAGTCAGCCTGGCTGTGGGATGCTTCCCAGCCCTGTGCCACATCACTGGCCTCAGACCAGCCAATTCTGAGTGAAGAATTTTTGAGCAAGGACATGGTACCTACAATCCTCCCCTTTTCTGATACATCAAAGCCGGTGCCTTTGTAGAAAATAGTGTGGTA